GGTTGTTACGTCTCTTTGGTCCTTTTTAATTTAGACAAGTTCTCTTACGTTCTTTGTTAGCTTTTTATGGTATTATCTTTTTTTTTTTAAAGAGTCTAGGCCAGTTGTAGAATGAACTCTAGCCTGGATGTCCCTGGTTTCCTCATCAGAATACCCAACAACTGCAGAATTACATATTCTTTTCAAGTGTACATGGTAGACGTGTTGGACCATAAAGCAGACAAACCAAATATGATCTGCGGCAGTAGTTCTCAGCCAGGGGTGATTTCATGCCCCCAACTCCCAGCCAAGACATTTGGCAATGTCTGAAGACATTTTTGGTTGTCATGCATGGTGGGGAGGGGGTACTACTGGCATCTCGTGGTAGAAGATGCTGCTGAATGTCTGACAGTGCATAGGACAACCCCCTACAACAAAGAATTATCCAGCCCAAAATGCCAATAGTAGAGGTTGAGAAACCTTACCATACACAACAGCATTCCCCAGCACTTGCTACCCCCCTTACCTGGCTTCATATTACTTATGAAATACTGTTGTCTTCATAATACCTATCAGTACCTCATATTTTCCTTTTTTTTTTCTCTGTCTCCCTCCAACCCAGATTTTAAGCTCCATGGGGTGGGGGGGAGGGACTTTGTTTTGTTCACTGCTGTACACCTAGCTCCTAGAACTGTGCTTAATGTAGGTGCTCAATAAGTGTTCATTGACTGAATGAAAGACCCACTGTTGACCAAGTCATGTAGCCATCCCTACACCACCCCATTATTAGATAGTCCTGCTTATTCTCTATCCTGAATGGCTCTTTAATTTCTCCCCTCTTGTCTAAGGCTGGGCTCTCTAGAGGAATGAGACTAGTGAAATGTATATACATATACATATACATATACATATACATATACATATACACATATACAGAGAGATTCAATTCAAGGAAATGGCTCACACAGTTGTGGAGACTGGTAAGTCCCAAATCCATGGGTCAGGCATCAAACTGGAGGCTTCTCCTGACTTATATGGTTGCAGGGGCTGATGAACCCCAGATCAGCAAGTTAGATGGCAGGCTGCTGGCTCATGGGGCTACAGGCACTGGCGAATCCCAAAATCTGCAGGTCAGGTGGCAGGCTGCTGGCTCACATACTAAGATCTGGAGGTCAGATGATGAGTTGGATGCAGGATCCAGAGTGAGAGTGAGCCTTGCTGGAACATCCATTTATATACTGGAGGCATGCCACACTCCCAAGGAAACTGATTGGCTGTTCACAGCAGATCTCATCAGGTGGTGATCACATTACATCAGATCTCATCATGGAGGTGATTATATTGTGGAAGAGAAATCAGTCCAGTGTCTGCCAAACCACTGAAAATCAAAACCTAGCTAAGCTGACAGATAACATTAGCCATCACACCTCCTCTGTATGCCAGTGCCATTGCCTTGGGTCAGGCCCTCATTATTTTCTCCTGGAATGTTGAAATCTTTACTACAAGATTTATTAAGTCTCATTAAGAACTCTCCCCAACCCTTGATCCTAGAATATGGAAATTTCAACTTTTGATGGCACCTAGGGATGTCTCAATCAGGCCCCTGCCCATCTGTCCAGGCCCATCTTCCACCACTTTTCCTCTGTATCTGTTAGTGTTCTTGAGTGCAAGCAACAGAGCAGGAAAGAACTTTGTTGAAAGGTATGTATGGGAAGCTCATGAGACAGACCAGAGGCTGGAGAACCAGAGAGTTGAGAGCAGAAAGTGGTCCAGTCTGTGGCCATGCTGTGACAGGACCTTGGATGGGTGTCACTGCTGCTGCTTTCTTCTCGGCCGAACTTGCTCCCCATGGGGTGGGGCCAGGGGGAGTGTCTGACTCTCTGTGTCTCCACTGAGTGCTGAGGCAAGGAGGAGAAGGGGCTTTCTCTGTGCCAGTTGTCAGTGTATTCCCTGTCAGCTCCAAATCTACCCTTATTTTGCTCAGCTTTGTGATTCTGGAGCTGGACCCTGAAAACATTTCTCCTTAGCAAAAAAAAAAAAAACAAAAAAACCACCAAAAAACCCATTGCCGTCGAGTCGATTCTGACCCATAGCGACCCTAAAGGACAGAGTAGAACTGCCCCATAGGGTTTCCAAGGGGTGGCTGGTAGATTCAAACTGCCAACCTTTGGGTTAGCAGCCAAAAGCTTACTGTGCCACCAGGGTCCTTAGCCAGCTGGTGTAATGTCAGACTTTGCTGATAGAGGGCGCCAGAGGCACACTGCAAGGCACGGTGGAAGGGTGGGCATTCTCTTTCTGGTCTCTTTTGTTGCTGTCAGCAGTGTGGGAGCTCTGGTGGCACCCATTCTCCAACAAGTTTTTCCAGCATCCCAGCAAGTAGCTTCTTGTGAACCAGCTTTTGCACCAGGGACGTTTTGCTGCTACGGTAGTCATTTACGCCAACCAGCTCATTTATAGCTCATTGCCCGGCAGCAAAGTAACTGCTGTGTTTTAGCTGATCCTACCATCCACCAACAAGGTGGGAGAATCAATGAGAGTGATGTGGTAACAGCCTGCTGCGGCCAGTCCCACTGCTCCCGTCCCACCTCAGGTGCTCAGTTGTCAGGGTTCAGGGTGATGCTGAGACATTCAGTGAAGATGGTGGCAGGCCGTGCCTGGGGAGAAGGGCCACTGCGTGGTACACAGTGCCTCTGGGCACAATAGGGAATGGCTGAACCAGAGGGAAAGGGTTTCCTTTACTGGCCTTGGAGTCCTTGGGTGGTGCAAATGGTTAATGTGCTCAGCTGCTAACCAAGAGGTTGGAGATTTGAGTCCACCCAGAGGTGCCTCAGAAGAAAGGGCTGGTGATCTACTTCTGAAAAATCAGCCTTTGAAAACCTGTGGAGCACAGTTCTACTCTGACACACGTAGGGTTGCCATGAGTTGCAGTTAACTGGATGGTAACTAGCTTTGGTTTTTATACTGGTCTTGGTTTTGGCTGGAGTTGAGGTGGTCCTGGGAAGTTTGCAAGTGTCCCAAAGATGTATAAAAGTCACACAGTAGGGGTCTGCCCAACCCTTAAATCCTCCATGTCTAGAAAGCCCTTCCCCTCCCCATGCGTAAGTGTCAGCTAGGAGCCACGTTTACAAGACATGGTCCCACCCTCCCTTACTTTACTGGACTCGACCAAGGATGGGCTCCTGACTCAAGCTGGGCCCATCAGACACCACTGGGATATTTGAAATTGAGAGAGAGAAAGAGAGAGAGAGATTAGGGGACAGTTTGCTTATTTGGGAGTGTCTTTTGCTGGCCATGTGAATTGAGATGCATAGAAAATACGTCTTCACAAAAAAACGAGTGAAGCAGAGAAAAGAAATTGAAAGTCAGTCTAGGTTCTGGAGGCCTCCTGGGTTCCAGGCCTTCCTGAGGCCCCTGCATTCTTCTATGGGATTGATTACATTTTCCCATTTTGATTTAGCAGAGTTGGTGACTTACCGGTGACCAAAAGGGTCTCAGCTGTTGGTGAGAGTAAGTGTGGGTCCTTCGGGCTCCCGGTGGGATCCCTGCTCGCGGAACCTGGTGCAGACTGGGCTCGTTTGCCCTGTGGATTTCCCTCAGCCTTGGCGGGGTGGGAAAGGGGGTGTTTAGGGTGAGGTCAGGGTTTGTGAGAACCTCCTGAGGTGGTGCGGGAAGTATAGGGAACCTGGGAGCTCAGACACTGCTTCTCTCCCAGCCTTAGGATGAGGCCCCTGGGGAGAAGTCCCCTGGGCGTATTGCTCAGGAGGGGGCTGGACTCTGAGAGGCTGGTGCGTGATTTATGCTGAGTCAGCAGCTTGGCCTTCGGCTCTCCCTTGGGCGGGGGTGGTGCAACAGTGGAATCAAGACAGCATTTGCCTCAAGTCTTGGGCCTTTGAGATGCCCCTGGGTGGGGAGTCAAACCCACCTAGAGGTGCCTTGGAAGACAGGCCTGCCAATCTGCTTCCTTCCACAGCCTTGAAACCCTATGGAACAGTTCTACTGTCACACGGGGTTGCTCTGAGTCAAAATCAGCTTGACAGCAACTAACAACAACAGAGTGGGGAATCATGAAAAAAAGATACGCACTGTCACCAGAGTGATGTCATTTTGTAGTTAAGTAATTCCAGTCTTCATCACCACTTACCAGCGTGTTATCTGGTTAAGTCAATAACATCTCTGAGCCTCAGTGCCAGGACTAACATAGACAGAGAAAATACTATCTATGTTACAGAGCCAAATGAGATGGAACAAGTACAATATTTAGCACAGGGCCTGCCTGGCTCACAGTAGCTGTTATTATGAAGAGAAGGGGCTTGAGAAACTGAGGGGGCTGTAACTCTATAAGCCAAAGAAGTGCAGACACAGCCTTATCTAAGAGATTTCACGTTTGAAAAACACTTTCCTGGAGATGTCCAGATACGAGGGGAAGGGCCAGGATTGCAATGACTGGTACTAACACTTACTGAATTGTTTCTATGGGCCCCGCACCGGTCTAGGTACTCTACGTGAATTCACTAATTTAATACTCACAACTCCATGGCAGTAGGTACTATCTCTAGGCCCATTTTACAGATGAGGAAACTGAGGCACAAAGCTATTTACCCAAGGCTATACAATCAACAAGTGACAAAGCTAGACTTTGAACACAAATAGTCTGTGTTCTGAATCAAGATGAGAAGTACTAGAAGGCCACAAAAGAACTTGTGCATAATAATCACCCAGGAGAGCCGGATGGGACAGGGACTGATGTGTATCACCTACCAGAACAATAACTTGCTGCTAAGGCTACCAGGTCAGGGCTGAAGATGAGATCTTTTCTGTGCCTGGTCAGAGATTTTGTAAGCCCCCTGAAAATTGTCTTCTTTTTTCAAACTAAGGAGCTGTGTGGGACATGTCCTAAATGACAAACCGACTCTCAAAAGGCATAAACAGGTCTTGGGTTTTCCTTGAGTCTCCTGAGAACTCCCTCTTCCCGAGACATTCAGTAGATGCTGGGGAAGCTCTGGGACAATTTGATGACTGTCTTAACGTTGGAATTGAAATGTCTTCTTTGGAAAGGCTTCCACTAGAAAAGTCATGGCAGACTCCACGAATTTCTCCAAATCGGAGATGGTCAGCAAATTTAGGATCTTACTCATCTTTCCCAGAAGGATCTGGATTTTCTGAGCTGTTGAACCAAATTCCACTTCCTGGATTCTTTTCTTCTTCATTTCATTCAGCACCTCTGGAGTTATGTACTGCAGAAATTCGTAGAAGACTGGGTGAGGATAAATGCTGCCCCAGCACTTGGCTGTCCCTCCCCCACCCCCAGGATCAAGTCCTCTGAGGTCATGGCTCAGTCTTCCCTGGAACCTTTACCCTTGGGGCAAATCTGTGCTCCCAGTCCTGCCACTGGTGACTTTTCTGCTGCTTCCCCAAATGCACTCCCTTGGCCTATGCCTATGGCCACATGGACTGTGCTCATGTGGGCTGACGCCACCCCTCTGCCTGACCTCAAAACAGAAGGGTCTGGAGATATGTGTACACAGTGTTCATTGCAGCCTTAATCACAATAGCCAAAAGGTGGAAACAACTCAAGTGTCCATCAACAGATGACTGGGTAAACAAAATGTGGTACGCACATATAATACAATATTACTCAGTCATAAAGAGAAATGAAGTCCTGATACATGCCGCGACATGGATGAACCCTGAAAACATCATGCGGAGTGAAATAAGTCAGACACAATAGGACAAATATCCTATGATCCCACATATATGAAATATCTAGAATAGGCAAATGCATAGAGACCAAGGTTTATTAATGGTTATCAGGGGCTGGGAGTTATTGCTGAATGAGCACTGAGTTTCTGTTTGGGGTGGTGAAAAATTTTTAGAAATGAGTAGCAGTGATAGTTGTACAACATGGTGAATATAAATTAGTGTCACTGAGTTGTATGTATAAAATGGTTAAAATGGCAAACTTTTTGTTATATATATATTTTATCACAATAAAATAAAAACAGGATAACCAGCTCTTGTGCCCTGGTGCACCTGCCTTAGAAAGGCTGTGCTTTTCTGGGAGTCTGGTTTCTGGGCCATGGATTTCCTAACGTGGGCGACATCAAGACCCTGCCAGAGCCTGGAGCCTGGAGCCTGTCACAGTGTCTGGCCAACAAGTCCTCACTGAAAACCCTATGGAGCACGGGTCTACTCTGACACACATGGAGTCCCCATAAGTCATAGTCAACTCCATGGTAATGGTTTGTTGTTGAGTGGGTTGGTGAGAGACAGAACTTGGCTTAGGGGCCCAGGGCGTGGACCGATCTGAGCCAGCAGGAGCCTGAATGCAGGTGGGCATTGACACGTTACCTTGTATCTGGTGCCTAGGTTTAAACGAATCTGTTTCTTCTTGTTGATGAAGTAGAAGAAGATATTATCCTGGCTCCTTATTTGTACCTTGATGTACTGGTTGATTGTCAAGGAGACGGGCTGGACAGGGGGCGCGTGGATGTGGAGGTTTAGGTTCCACCAGTTCCAGGCCCTTTGGCCTCCGCCTCTGATGAAGTAGTAGCCCAGATTGTGGCTTAGGCTCAACCTAGACCAAGAAGCCACGTCAGGCAGTCAGTGCATAGCTCTTGGGACTGGGAGCCGCCCACAGCCTCTCATGTGGCAAAGCAGAGCCCCGGCCCCTCAGTCTCCTTCATTTTCCTCTCCTGCTTAGCCCACAAAAAGGGCCACAGGGTCTCAGCAGGTGGGAGAAATTACAACAAGGAAGGCAAGCTGGAGACTTTGCATTGGCGTTCCACACTGGCCTCTAGAGTGTGCTGGGCCTCATACTGTGGCCTCTCCCTCTAACTCCCACCCTCTCCCTTCAGTTCCTGGGTCACCCATGCTCTTTACTCCCTCCGGGAATTTGCCATGCTGTTCCCTCTGTCTGGAGGGCCTTCCCGCACGTCTTGGCGTGGCTGTCTCCTGCTTATCCTGAAGGTCTCAGCTGAATGTCACCTCCTCAGAGAAGCCGTTCCCAACCAGCCTATCTAGCTCCTTGTTATGGATTGAATTGTGTCCCCCAAAATATGTGTTGGGTGCTAACCCCTATACCTGTGGCTATGATCTTGTTTGGAAATAGAGTTTTCTTTATTATGTTAATTAGATTAGACTCAAGTAGGGTGGTGTCTTAGTTCTCTAATGCTGCTATAACAAATACCACAAGTGGATGGCTTTAACAAACAGAAATTTATTCTCTCACAGTTTAGGAGGCTAAAAGTCTGAATTCAGGGTGCCAGCTCCAGAAGAAGGCTTTCTTTTTCTGTTGGCTCTGGAGGAAGGTCCTTGTCATCAGCTTCCCTTGGATCTAGGAATTTCTTAGTGCAGAGATCCTAAGTCCAAAGGACATGCTCCACTCCTGGCTCTTCTTTCTTGGTGGTATGAGGTCCCTCTCCTCTCTGCTTGATTCTCTCTTTTACATCTCAAAAGAGATTGACTCAAGATACAACCTAATCCTGTAGATTGAGTCCTGTCTCATTAACATAACTGCCTCTAATTCTGCCTCCTTAACATCATAGGATTTACAACACATAGGATAGTTACATCAGATCACAAAATGTAGGACAAACACACAATACTTGGAATCATGGCCTAGTAAAGTTGGCACACAGTTTTGGGGGACACAATTCAACCCATAACATTCCACTCTTTGGCCCCCCAAACTTCATGTCCTTGCCACATGTAAAACACATTTACCCCATCATACCATCCCAAATGTCTTAAATCAACTCCAAGTCCAAATTCCATCCGGGGCAAAATTCTTCTCTATCTGTGAAATCTAGAATACAATTTACGTGCTTCCAAAGTACAATGGTGGAACAGGCACAGGGTAGACGTTTCCATTACAAATGGGAGAAATTGGAGGGAAAAAAGGAATAATAGACACAAAACAAGTTAAAAACACAGCAGAACAATTTACATTAGCGCTCAAGGCTTGAAAATAATCCTCTGTTTTCTGAGACCATCTAGTCAATGGCCCCACCCTCCAGATTCTGGGTGCTGGCCACACTCTCTGGATTCCGGTGGAGGTCCCTTAACCCTGGGCTTCAGCTCTGCCTTCCATGTCCACTGGGATGGCAACTCTGCTCCCTATCTTAGGGCAGCACCATTCTCCTAGTCCAAATGAGTGGAGACCTCACCCCCTCAGCCCCAGCAGGCCCAGTTCTTCTGCCCTTGGGCATGGCAGCCCCACCGCCTCTGCTTTGGGCAGCGGATCTGGCCCCATCCCCCATCACTTGTGAAAGGCAGCCCTACACTCCGGAACCAAGCTGGTGAAGATGTGACTCTTCGAAACCTAGGAGGCCATGGCCCCACCCTTTGAGATCCAGGAGTCCGTGGTTCTACCCTTTGAGACCCCACAGGTTGTGGCCCTACCCATTGAGATTGAGGCAGCTCTGCTTCCTGTGCTCCTTGTCTCTTCAGCTTCTGCTTCCTGGTTTCTTGGCCTCTTGGCCCCTTGGCCCCTCGGGCCTCTTGGGCTGGTCTGGCCTCTGCCCTGCTCAGGCAAGTTTTACAAAGGTCTTTAGTTCTACTGATAAGTGCATGGAGGCACCCCACTCCACCAGTAAGCCTCAGCCCAAAGGCACTCAGCTCTCACTCTGTGGATCAGGTCAGCAAGCCTATCTCTGCCAACAAATGCCCAGAGGCACCTTACTCTGCCATGAAGCCTCTTGCACAAAGGCACTCAGCTCTCTTGCTCTGTGGGTCAGCTCCTGTGCCGTCTCACACCAATCTCCTGGTTCTGGTGCTGTGGTTTCTCTGCTGCTGCTTCTCACTGTCTGCACCATATCCAGTGTTACAGCTCTCCTCCCTTTCTTCTGAGCCCTCACTAAAATTGTCTCTGATGTCTGTAATTCCATCAATGGCCTCTTCAAGATAATCTAGGCTTTTACCATTAGGCTCTTTAAACTCTTCCAGCCTCTACCCATTTCTCAATTCCAAAACCATTTCTACATTGTAGGTATCTGTTAGAGCAACACCTCAATCCTGGTACCAAATTTCTATCTTAGTTATCTAAGACAGAAATACCACAAGTGGGTGGCTTTAACAAAGAGAAATTCATTCTCTCACAGTTTAGGAGGTAAGAAGTTCAAATTCAGAGTGCCAGCTCCAGAGGAAGGCTTTCTGTCTCTGTTAGCTCTAGGGGAAGGTCCTTGTCATCAAACTCCCCCTGGGTCTAGGAGCTTCTCAGCACAGGGACCCCAACTCCAAAGGACGCACTCTGCTACTGGATCTGCTTTCTTGGTGTTAGGAGGTCCTTCTCCTCTCTGCTCGCTTCTCTCTTTTATATCTCAAAAGAAATTGACTCAAGATACAACCTAATCCTGTAGATTGTGTCCTGCCTCATTAACAAAACTGTGTCTAATCCTGCCTTCTTAATATCTTGTTGTTGTTAGGTGCCCTCGAGTCAGTTCCAACTCACAGCAACCCTATGTACAACAGAACGAAACACTGCCCCATCCTGCGCCATCCTCAAAATTGTTATTATGCTTGAGCCCATTGTAACAGCCACTGTGTTGATCCATCTTGTTGAGGGTCTTCCTCTTTTTCGTTGACCCTCTACTTTACCAAGCATGATGTCCGTCTCCAGGGACTGGTCCCTCTTGATAACATGTCCAAAGTATGTGAGACATAGTCTTGCCATCCTTGCTTCTAAGGAGCATCCTGGTTGTACTCCTTCCAAGATAAATTTGTTCGTTCTTTTGGCAGTCCATGGTATATTCGATATTCTTCGCCAACACCACAATTCAAAGGTGTCAATTCTTCTTTGGTCTTCCTTATTCATCGTCCACCTTTCATGTACATATGAGGCAATTGAAAACTCCATGGCTTGGGTCAGGTGCACCTTAGTGTTCAAGGTGACATCTTTGCTTTTTAACACTTTTGAAGGTTGTGTCATCTGCGTAACACAGGTTGTTAGTAAGTCCTCCTCCAGTCCTGATGCCCCTGTTCTTCTTCATGTAGTCCAACTTCTAGGATTATTTGCTCAGCACACAGATTGAGTAAATATGGTGAGAGGACACAACCCTGACACACACCTTTCTTGACTTTAAACCAAACAGTGTCCCCTTGTTCTGTTCGAATGACTGCCTCTTGATCTATGTACAGGTTCCTCACGAGCACAATTAAGTGTTTTGGAATTCCCATTCTTCACAATGTTATCCATAATTTGTTATGATACACACAGTTGAATGCCTTTGTAAAGTCAATAAAACACAGGTAAACGTCTTTCTGGTATTCTCTACTTTCAGCCAGTATCCATCTGACACCAGCAATGATATCCTTGGGTCCACGTCCTCTTCTGAATCCGGCTTGAATTTCTGGCAGTTCCCTGTCGTACTGCTGCAGCCACTTTTGTATGATCTTCAGCAAAATTTTACCTGCATGTGATATCAGTGATTTTGTTCTATAATCCCCACATTCGGTTGGATCACCTTTCTTTGGAATAGGCTTAAATATGGATCTTTTCCAGTTGGTTGGCCACGTAGGTGTCTTCCAAATTTCTTGGCATAGACGAGCGAGCAGTTCCAGTGCTGCATCCATTTTTTGAAACATCTCAATTGGTATTCCATCAATTCCTGGAGCCTTGTCTTTCACCAATGCCTTCAATGCAGCTTGGACCTCTTCCTTCAGTACTGTCTTAGGCTGGGTTCTCTAGAGGAGCAAAATCACTAAAGCGTATAAATATAAATAGAGCTTTATATCAAGGAAACAGCTCACGTGATTGTAGAGGCTGGAACGTCCCAAGTCTGTGGATCAAGATGGAGGCTCCTCTTGATTCACGTAGCTGCAGGGGCTGGTGAACCCAAGATCAGCAAGTCAGAGAGCAGGGCTCCTGTTCACAGGCTGTGAAGATCAATGAATCCCAAGATCGGCAGATGAGCTGATAGCTCAAGTCCCAAGAACCGGAGATCAGATGACCAGGAGGCAGCTGCAGGATCCAGAGTGAGCAAAAAGCCAGAATATCTGCTTATTTTCGGATGCAGGCCACACCCCCAAGGAAACTCCCTTTCAACTGATTGGCTATTCACAGCAGATCCCATCATGGGAAGGATCACATATAAACACTGAGAATCATGGCCCAGCCAAGTTGACACACAACCTTAATCATCATAGGTACCATCGATTTCTGATCAAATGTGTCTTAGGCTGGGTTCTCTAGAGAAGCAAAACCAGTAAGTGTATAAATATATATATATATAGAGAGAGATTTATATCAAGGAAATAGCTCACACAATTATAGAGGCTAAAATGTCCCAAGTCCATGGATCAGGGTAGAGACCTCTCCCAGTTCACAGAGCGGCAGAAGCTGGTGAACCCAAGGTTGGCAGGTCAGAGAGGGGCTCCCACTCACAGGCCATGAAGGTCAATGAATTTGAAGATCAGTAGACAAGAGTGCAAGGTTTCTCCTGATTCACGTAGCTGCAGGGGCTGGCGAGCCCAAGGTCAGCAGGTTGGGGAACTGGACTCTTGCTCACAGGCTGAGAAGTTCGACGAATTCCAAGACCAACAGTTAAGCTGTTAGCTCAAGTCCCATGAACGAGAGGT